GGAAATGAGAGGGCGCACTCATTTATCCCCTCATGCTCGTTCCCAGCTCTTCTTCGTGTTAACGCGCTCGTTCCCAACTCTCATTTACTCCGAATCCCAACGTTCCGAGAAAAGCTGGGGACCGGGGAGGAGACAGCTCAAAATATTGATCACCTGACTAGTTTTCTGAGAATGCTCCTTTAGCTTCGACCGAGCAAACAGTGACGTGGCTTCGATAACTTGCTATCACAAATCCTAAAAACTCAGCTTAGACCGACGAAAAGAATGGACCAGTTTCAGGTTGGGGAAACACTCTTGATGACTCAGAGAAAGCTTGGAGAAGGTGCCTTTGGTGTGGTGTATCAAGTCAAAGACCAAGCTAGCTCGAAAGTGTTCGCCCTGAAAGACATTCGTTGTGAAAACGAAAGCGCTCTTGATAATGCTGTTAGCGAGGCTGAGAATCTCTACAAAGTAGTCAGCCACAAGAACATTATCACCATCCAGGGCGTGGACACGTATAAAGAAAAGTCTGGGTCAAGGCACTTTTTGATTTTAACCGAGCTGTGTGCCGGAGGAAACCTAAACGAGCGCTTGACGCAACCAAGTAGCGACCAGATGAATCTAAAGTGGATGAGTCAAATTGCAGATGCTCTGAGTTACCTTCACTCCAAAGGCATAGTCCACCGTGATCTAAAACCAGAAAATGTGCTGCTTACAAACAAACAAAATGTTAAAATGGCTGATTTTGGTCTGGCACGAGAGTACGTTGCACTCAAGCGCGCGGATCCCGTGAACGAGTGGTTGACATTCTACAAGCAGTACTACATGAACACATTTGCCGGATCACCGCCCTGGATGGCTCCTGAGGTATTCCGCGGCCACTACACTCAAAAGGCGGACGTTTTTTCGCTTGGCGTGATCTTCTTTGCAATCCTGGAAAGGGATTACGACACTTTCCAAGGAAAGCGGTATTATGGTGCCTTTGCCCAACTCAAATGGGAAGGGAAAGTTGGTCTGGGGTACGCCATGACAAGAAATAAATATGCCGAAGTCGAGTTTTCGCTTGCCACCCAAGGATCAACTTCCCAACGAAGAGTCACTCTTGATGCCTTATCGTACAGCGCAGACGACAGGCCAACCGCAAAGGAAGTCTATGAAAGAATCCAACCTAACCAAGCAAGTGTAAGGCTGAAAGCAAATACGGAACAAGCGTCTGGCGGGTGTTGTTAGATCGCAGGGCAAAAATATATTTTCATGATTTATGTTTATATTTATCCAGCCAGCAGACAGACTTTCTTTAATTAATATTCAAAAGTTCACATTTTTCAGCTTACAGTTTTCAAATTGACTTACATTGACATCTTGAGTTTATTCCCAGTAATATTGCAAACAATCTCAAATTGAACTGACCTGTTGTCCTTGCGTTTTCCATGTAACCAATTTGCATTTCCTATTAAGTTCCGCGTCATGTTGACCCCATATTTAGAACCGTTT